GATGAAGTAGGAGTTTTGCCACCTACAGGCTAGGGCGCTTTCCTAATTATAAACACGGGTCTACTGATAAGAATTTATTACAAAATCGAAGATGAGATACCCCCTGACCATAGTAAATTTATTTTCATCACAAAATATAACTCGTCTGGCGAGATATTGCGCATACGCTAAAACAGTAACGTGGCCAGATTATGTACTGACTGGTATATGCAGCCGGGACCTTACATGCAAAGTCTGCTTCCTATTTCACAAGTGAGGTCTACTGATAGAATATTGTCATAGAAATCTATGCTGGGATAACCCTTCTTCATTCTAAATTTATAATTTTGGCAAAATATTATTATTCTCGGGAGATATTGCGCATGCGCGAGCACCGTTTCAGACGTGCAGTACTGCCTAAATAAAAGTACGTAATATAGCTTGTTGAGGGAGAGAGGGGTGGGAGACTGAGTGAGGGTGGCAGTGAAGACAGTTGAGGGGCAGTGGAAGAAGAAGGATGCTGAGCGTGCGACAAGGGAGACAACGGGAAGGGCGGGCGGGGATGAAGTAGGAGTTTTGCCCCCTACAGGCTAGGGCGCTCTCTTAATTATAAACACGGGTCTACTGATGAGAATTTATTACAGAAATCGAAGATGAGATACCCCCTGACCATAGTAAATGCATTTTCATCACAAAATATAACTCGTCTGATCCGGCGCGCAAATCCATTTTGAAGGACCAGGGCGGCAAGGGGAAGAACGGGAGGCGATGACGTAGGAGTTTCGAACCCTACAGGCTAAGGCGCTCTCCTAATTATAATTTATAAACACAGGTCTACTGATAACAATTTATTACAAAAATCTATGCTGGAATAGACCCTAACCATATGAAATGCATATTCATCACAAAATATAACACCTCTGGTGAGATATTACGCATGCGCTAAAACAGTAACGTAGCCAGATTATGTACTGACTGGTATATGCAGCCGGGACCTTACATGCAAAGTCTGCTTCCTATTTCACAAGTGAGGTCTACTGATGGAATATTGTCATAGAAATCTATGCTGGGATAACCCCTCTTCATTCTAAATTTATAATTTTGGCAAAATATTATTATTCTCGGGAGATATTGCGCATGCGCGAGCACCGTTTCAGACGTGCAGTACTGCCTAAATAAAAGTACGTAATATAGCTTGTTGAGGGAGAGAGGGGTGGGAGACTGAGTGAGGGTGGCAGTGAAGACAGTTGAGGGGCAGTGGACGAAGAAGGATGCTGAGCGTGCGACAAGGGAGGCAAGGGGAAGGGCGGGTGGGGATGAAGTAGGATTTTTGCCCCCTACAGGCTAGGGCGCTCTCTTAATTATAAACACGGGTCTACTGATAAGAATTTATTACAGAAATCGAAGATGAGATACCCCCTGACCATATTAAATGCATTTTCATCACAAAATATAACTCTTCTGATGAGATATTGCGCTTGCGCTAAAACAGTAACGTAGCCAGATTATGTACTGCATGATTAGTATATGCAGTCGGGACCTTACATGCAAGGTCTGCTTCATATTTCATAAGTGAGGTCTACTGATGAGATATTGTTATAGAAATCTATGCTGGGATAACCCCTCTTCATTTTAAATTCATAATTTTGGCAAAATACTCTTCTTCTCGGGAGATATTGCGCATGCGCGAGCACCGTTTCAGACGTGCAGTACTGCCTAAATAAAAGTACGTAATATAGCTTGCTGAGGGAGAGAGGGGTGGGAGACTGAGTGAGGGTGGCAGTGAAGACAGGTGAGGGACAGTGGAAGAAGAAGGATGCTGAGCGTGCGACATGGGAGACAAGGGGAAGGGCGGCGGGGATGAAGTAGGAGTTTTGCACCCTACAGGCTAGGGCGCTCTCCTAATTATAAGCACAGGTTTACTCACTTTACTGATAAGAATGTATTACAGAAATCGATGCTGAGATACCCCCTAACCATATTAAATGCATATTGTTGCATGTCGGGGGTATGGTTGCGCACGCACCACCATTCTCTCTGACACATTGAGTAAATAGGCCTAGAAAAACCCGTTCATTCTTTTGAAAAATTCAGTAAGCGCGAATATGAATTTCACATTTAGAGTTTAGAGATTGTAATATAGAAATTATATATATGAGAAGTGTCGCATCTCGAGTACAGTGGGTGTAATTTGTAAATTACGAATTTATGTAAATAAAATTTATAAATTTTTTATTTTGTGTTATGTGTTCTGCACGATAGAGGGCGCTGATACTCGCACCTGCGCCTAGCTCACCATCCGGATCAAGTAGAAGAACTATTCTAGAACATTACTCATTCACATTTAGAATATAGCCAGTTCAGAAAATTTTAAAACGTAGCGTGTAAGTTGGAAAGGTTGATAAACACATATATATCTCTTATTTTTAATCTACGCAGAGAATTGATCGTGGATGTAATAACTTTCAGGTAAGTGAGTTATTTAGTTCTAACTGCATTGTCTTGCTCGTGTCTTTTTGCAGTTTTGGATAGTAGACGCTTGGTGACGATGTCATGATTAACATGGTGTTGCACCATCTACTAATATATATATATATATATAATATATATATATATATATATATATATATATATATATATATATATATATGTATGTATATATAATTGTTGTGTAGCAAAGAAATAAACGTAGTCGCTTTTTACGTGAACGAATATCATGCGTCGTTTCTACTGGATTAAGGTGTCACTGTAGTGTTACTGTTAGTGTTAGTGTTAGTGTCACTGTTAGTGACTAGTGACAGTAGTGTCGTGAGTAGGCCTAGTGAGTAGTGTTTTACTCTAACAATACTCAATACAATAGACTAGTAACATCAATGTTCATGCACACATCCTACCTAATTAACAAGGAAACGGCCACATTCCACCTGCACTGTTTTTCATAAAGAAGTTATACACAGTAAAAGGTAGAGTAAAAATGTGTTAATTTACTATCTTCATTCAATAACTTTACATTCCTTCTTCTTGCTTTTTCTTCAATTCAGCAATCCGTAGCGTCGGTCTGTCGATTTGGTCAACTTTGTCTCTATCCATTCTTAATATAGTCTCGGACTTTGAAGACTACTAATATGTGATTACATATATGCCTAAATTGAAGAGAAGTTTCGGCCATGGTTTCTAGCCACATTACATCACATTACATCACGGTGACATTACATCACCTATAATCACATTCATCGGTATGGAGGCAGAAAGCTCTTTTCAATCTATGCATAGCTATTAAGTTATTGTGTGGAAATATTAAGTTACTGTTAATACATTTTGCCCTACTATTTTATTTAAAGCCGCACTATGCGCATCCAAACGCTAATTTCTCCAGTATTAGACTAGCAAATACTTTATGTCGTGCATAATCACACTACCTTATGGCAAAATAAACTCTAGTTCTTCCCATTTCAGTGCGCGTTTGCTTAAAACCCACAAGAAAGAGGTGCGAAATCTTGTAATCTGGCGCCAACGCTAAATTGTTTGCCAAACAATTTCGCCAAGAATCGGTTAGGTGACGTCACATGTTTTTATCTTTGCTACATCTGTACCGCTGTACCGCAGCACCGCTCCACGGTTGCTTGGCAGAGCAACGCGAAAGTGTCAACAACATCGGAGAATTTGAACAACATTGGAGGTATTTTTAAATGCCTTTTATAAGACAACGCGCAATGAAATGGGAGGAACTAGAGTTTATTTTGTCATAAGGTAGTGTGATTATGCATGACACGAAGTATTTGCTAGTCTAGTACTGGAGAAATTAGCGTTTGGATGCGCATAGTGCGGCTTTAAGCCAGGGAACAATTTTTTTTCCACCACTTGCCCTGCGGGAAACTGCTGACAAAAATGACTTGCCCCAATAAAAATGTCACTTGCCCGAACAAAAATGTTAATTGCCTCATGTGTATTACTTTATATTCACTCAATTTATGTTTAAAGTTATATATTATTACTAACTGGTGACTGTAATCATGTGTGGATGGTCCAAGGCATAGTTAGTAGATGTTAAAGCTGACGTAAGTGATTCCTAAAGCAAATGCTTTAGCAGTGTAATCTTCGTGTGCCAATTGATTATTTTTCCACAAGTTTGATTGTGTACAGTAATTGATTACTGTATACGCTGTATATTTCGTGGTGGTTTAATTTTCGCGAACGCGGCCCCGACCGCGAAAATAACAACACCCAAATAATTTGTACCGAATAATACCGAATTATTCATACTTCACCGATTGCGAAATTAACCACTCGCGAAATTAACCACTCACGAAATTGTCCGTAAAGTCTGAATTCGCGCAAATATCTGTATGCGAAAAATATGGCGTATTTGTAATATGGTAATTGATTATTCACATACATTGTATGTACACATTTACAGCGAACTTGAACACAAGCAGAAGACAAGATGGTGAAGGAAACCGCTTACTATGAAATATTGGGTGTGAAGCCCAACGCAACCGCAGATGAACTTAAGAAAGCCTACAGAAAACTAGCGCTCAAGTTTCACCCGGACAAAAATCCAAATTCTGGCGAGAAGGTAGGAAGTGTTTTGAAGGATACCATCGCAGCAGCCTTCGTTTTATCATGTTGTTACTATATATTCATATTATTTCTGTGAATTATTTATGCTGCATATAAATTTTATCTGTTTAATACTGATGGAAAATCAATGAATACTTGATTGCTAAAGCTTACAATGTGTGTTTTGGTAGAGACTATTGTCTGGGCATCCCATCCCTGAGTGAGTGTAGTAGTGTTTGGTTCACCAGCAATGGGAGATTGTGCAACAGTGTGATTTTAGCATATAAAGTAATAAATTGTACTCCCCATTTCAACTAATTCTACTGTTCAAAGTGTGGGTAGTGGCTGATTGAGACTTATCACGTGATGATGCGTTTGTCTTATTGTGTATAGTTACAATGACATCTATGTCGTCCAACCTCTCATTTAAAATTGATGCATTTGTTTTAATATAACTGAATTCAGCATTCAGTTGTGCAGTGTTATTTCATTTCTGCCCACTGAAGTACCATTTAAAAAAACAGTTTCCGTCATTTAAAGTCGATTAATTAATATCAGTCTTACAAGAGACATTTCTGTCAAAACAATGTCAACTAGCCGTAGTACTTGTATCTCAACAGCTATAGGGCATATTCTTCGTGGTAGCCTTGTTGATCATAGATAATCATCATTGTTACCCACTGAATTTTGCAGTTCAAGTCGATATCGCAAGCATATGAAGTATTGTCAGATCAAAAAAAAAGGGACATGTATGACCAGGGTGGTGAGCAAGCAATCAAGGAGGGCGGAACAGGTGGTGGGGGTGGTTTTCACTTCAGGTAAGTTGAGATGACATACAGCTAAATGCTTGTAAAATGAAGCTTGTATGGCACAGCTCGACCAACCTATAAAAAAATGTTTTCTTTTAGATTGCAGGAACGTCATCTATTGACACTTATTCGCAGTCTTAGAATAAATATTGTATTTTATTCGAATTTCAGTGGATCATGAAAATGAAATTGAATAAAATTTCCATGAGTGCTTCTAAAACCAATGAATATCTTAGCCAGTTTGAGTACTAGTGGTGGTACACCAATGAGTAGTGGTTTCACTTCATGTTTGTACTTTGTAATGAGTATTTTTATGACATTTGAAAGAAACAGTAGTACTAGTACAGGGTGGGTAGAATGTAAATTGTCTTCTGTAAACATGATTAATAATCGAATACTTTCCTGGCAGAAATGTTAATGGTAAGTAACATAAACCCCTGTAAATGTTCAGGCTTTGTTCGATTGTCTGCTGTAAACATGATTAATAATCGAATACTTTCCTGGCAGAAATGTTAGTGTTTCGTTAATATTTAGTAAACCCCCTGTGATATGGTGAATTAAAGAAATGGTGTAAGCAGAGGTGTTACCATGCTGGACTTCACCAGAAAATGTGGCTTATGAGCTGAATTATGGTGGGTTTCGTCGTAGAGGCTTATCTATGGCCGGTTTCCTATCATTGCAGTTCGCCGATGGACATTTTCGACATGTTTTTCGGCGGCGGCGGTGGCGGCCATCGGCGCGAGCGACGTGGTAAGGATGTCGTGCACCAGCTGTCGGTGACCCTCACTGACCTCTACAACGGGAGCGTGCGCAGGCTCGCACTGCAGAAGAACATCATCTGTGATAAGTGTGAAGGTGTGTGATGAATTTCTGTGTGTGTGCGTGTGAGTGTGTTTGTGTGTGTGCGTATGCGTGCGTGCGTGTGTGTGTTCATGCGTGCGTGTGAGTGCATTGCATGTTGTAAGTGTGTGTGCGTGCATTCGCGTGTGTATGTGGGTACATTTGTGTGTACGTGAATGTGTGTGCGTGTGCGTAGCGTGTGAGTGCGTGAATGTCGGTGGGTATGCGTGTGTGAGTGCGTGCTTGCGTGTGTGCGAGTACGTGAATGTGTGCGTGCGTGCGTGCATGCGTGCATGCGTGCGTGCGTGCATGTGGGTAGGCGCACGACGTGCCTGTCGAACACTAGCTCCCTTCTCTCTCGCAGGTCGCGGTGGCAAGAAGGGTGCTGTCGAGAAGTGCGGAAACTGCAAGGGCACTGGCGTGCAGGTGCGCATCCAGCAGCTGGCGCCCGGCATGGTGCAGCAGATACAGTCGGTGTGCCACGAGTGCCAGGGCCAGGGCGAGCGCATCAATGCGCGCGACCGCTGCAAGAACTGCCAGGGCAAGAAGGTCATGCGCGAGCGAAAGATTCTAGAGGTGCACGTCGACAAGGGTGAGTGAGGGGAAGAGGAAAGTGGGGTAGGGAAGGAGGGAGGTGGCACAGGGGTAGAGGGGAGAGTGGGGCAGGGGTATGGGGGGGTAGGGGGAGAGTGGGGCAGGGGTAGGGGGGGGAGAGTGGAGCAGGGGTAGGAGGAATGTGAGGCAGGGGTAGGGGGAAGGTGGGATAGGGGCAGGAGTAGGAGGAGGGTGGAGCAGGGGTAGGGGGTGTGTACAGCAGGGGTAGGAGAAGGGTGGGTCAGGGGTAGGAGGAGTGTGTGTTAAGGGTAGCAGGGGCGGAAAATAGGGCAAGTCCGAGGTCCTGAACCTGCCGATATAATGCTCGGACCTTCGCAATATCCAAGCAGAAAGTCCGTCGAGCCTATCAATAATTTATAGTACTCCACTATACATAGTTTACATAAAGATATTGTTTAAAATGTATTTATTATGTGATGACGAAATATAAGATACATTTTGTTGACATATTCGGACCTTCCAAATCTTTCATCGGACCTTACAAAAATATTGCTGAAAAGCCCCGGACCTACAGGCAAAAACCACTATTTTCAGCCCCTGGGTAGGGGGTGCATGGGGGCAGAGGCAGGATGAGGATGGGGCAGGGTTAGTGGGAGCATTAGTCAGAGGTATGGGGACGTGTAGTAGGGCGATGGTGTGGCAGGGCTGATAGGGGTAATGAAGGCTGGGCTATGGTCACTTCATCTACTCCTGAAGTGAGCGCCTCCGCGCCTCACGCCCCCGCCTCTCCCACACACACACACACACACACACACACACACACACACACACACACACACACACACACACACACACACACACAC